TAGGTTGGCGGTCATCCGGTATACGGTTTTCCGATATAACCGGGCACGAAAGGAACCTTTAGGTGATCATGCACACATGCAACACTCGGGTTCCATCATTATAATTTTCAATAGCCAATGCAAACATAATCCGTGCTTAATACGTTGAAATATCCAACTTCTCCACATAAAAAAAATGTACTAAAATATTCACACGTGATTATGCACATATCAATAAATTTCCAAACTTGGCATGCTTCTATATTCAAGTATACACAACATAATTCTCACATAAAACTTAACAAATAAACCCGACACCTCGGGGTTTATTAATTAAATACCCGACATGCTATACTCAAAATTAACCAAACAATTCAATTTGGCATACAAACCAATATATAAGGCAAATTCTAACTTAGGCATCACAATTTAAGCCTAAAATAAACACAATTTAATTTCGGAATTTCCACAAAAATATTAATAAAATAATAATATTTTTAATTCCGAAAATTAATAAAATATTATTATTTAATTTCCGAAAATTAATAAAATAATAATATAATTAATCCAATAGATTATCACTAATCCCTAATCAATTAGTACTAAGCACAATTAACTTAAACTAATCCGCTCTAATGAAGTTTAACCTACTAAGCAAGGGATTAGGGCGATAACTCACCCGTTTAAAATTCCGGAGACACCGGTGCGTCGGCGGCGGCGAGGGCTACGCTTGCACGGTCGGAATCGACACGGAAAGACGACGACGACCGGGTCTCGGGCGGACAGCAGCCCGTAGCCGGTTTGGCTTCGGTGAGGCGATTTGGCGACGGAAAAGCGGCACGGACGGGTTGCGCACGGCGGCGGGAGTCACGGCGTGGCTGTTGGTTGCTCCACGGCAGCAACACAGCAGCAACACAACAGCAAGGGGGCTGTTCTGTTTGCTCAGCCGAAGGAACAACAAAAAAAAGAGAAAAGGGAAGTTGCCGTGGAAGAGGAAAAAGGAGAGAGAGAGGAATGGACGCGGGAGGGAGAAGAGAGGGAACAAGAGAGATATTTCTCTTCTTTAATGCATGCCCTATAAGTCTTCATCATCATTCCCCCACATAAATGCCAAACCCCAAAGTCTTCTTCATCATTTCTTTGGTTTCTTTGTCATAAATGCAAGAAGGGTATTTTGGTAATTTCACAAGGTATAAAAATACTTATACGCGTATACGAGCTAGAATTTCGTACGGGCTCGTATAACCGAATTTGGGCTCAAACGGATTATGAATGGGCTTGAAAATGCTAATGGGCTCAAACTTGGGCTTGAATTGCAATTGGGCACGAAATTGGATTCAATGGGCTAAATTGGGCCACTTGGGTTTGCCTTGGGCCCATGTGGCGAATCACATTGGGCTTGAGGCCCAATGTGCCTTCGTCTGGCCCACTTCCTCGTGGGCTCAAATTCTCGGCCCGTTAAATCCTTTTCCGAGAATGTCGAGCAAACCGATAAACGAGCAAATCAATGAGGCGGTGTCCAATAATTTAGTTTTGAAATCCTCGAAGATTCGACATCCAAATTCGGATTCTAATTCGTGGTAAAAATCAATCAATTGCGACTTTAGTATATCTCAAACTAACGGGCGGCTTTTAGGAGTTACGCGGTCGACCCGTGGTTGATTCGGTATCAAACCACGTTTAAGTTTTCTCGAATCATGGATGATCTCGATTGTCATGTAATTGCGAGGATCAATCGTCGGTTCCAAAGTACGCGATCATCGATCAATGGGTTTAGGATCGTTCGCAATACATACAACGGTCAAACGGAATCACCCGCGATCCGATTGTATGCTATTGGCGAATCATTCTATAACCATCCCTTGATCGGTCTATAATGGCTCAAAATTGTCCTCGTCAATCCTTATGGTCGAATTGTCAATCCCCGATCGAGTTTTCGGTCGTGCGTATTTAATTCCTTAATGCCTTTCCCAATCGGTTAGTCTCTCATGAGTGATCAATTCGGAGCGAGAATTACTAATAGTGCATCGATTAAAATCATCATTTCATTACATTCCGAATATGGTCGAATTTGAGGATGTCACAGATACCTATGGCCACCACTTTGAGCGAAATTTAATTTTTTAGATGCAAAAAAAAATAAAAAATAATCAAAAAATCTAAAATTTAAAAACTTAACAGAATGTCTTAGAATACCTGTGGCTACCCAATTTTAGCGAAATTTAATTTTTTTTAGTTGTCGAAAAAATTAAAAAAAGCAAAATATACAAAATTTCAAAACTTCACAGAATGGCTTAGAATACCTGTGGCCATCCACTTTGAGCGAAATTTAAATTTTTTAAGGTGTCGAAAAAAATAAAAAAATAAAAAATAAAAAACTTCAGAGAATGGCTTAGAATACCCGTGGCCACCCACTTTAAGCGAAATTTAATTTTTTTTAGATGCCAAAAAAAATAAAAATAAGAAAAAAAGCAAAAAATTTAAAACTTCACAGAATGGCTTAAAATACCTGTGGCCACCCACTTTAAGCGAAATTTTATTTTTTTTAGGTGCCGAAAAAAATAAAAAAAAAGCGAAAAATAAAAAATTTCAAAACTTCACAGAATGTCTTAGAATACATGTGGCCATTCACTTTGAGTGAAATTTAATTTTCTTTAGGTGCAGAAAAAAGAATTAAAAAATAAAAAAAAATCAAAAATACCATTTGGGCACCTAAAAAAAATTAAATTTCACTCAAAGTGGGTGGCTAGAGGCATTCTAAGTCATTCTGTGAAGTTTTGAAATTTTTGATTTTTTATGTTTTTATTTTTTTTTTCGGCACCTAAAAACATTTAAATTTCGCTCAAAGTGGGTGGCCACAGATATTCTAAGCCATTCTGTGAAGTTTTGAATTTTTTTATTTTTTGCTTTTCTTTTCACCTCCAAAAATTAAAATTTCACTCAAAGTGGGTGGCCACAGGTATTCTAAGCCATTCTGTGAAGTTTTGAAATTTTTGAGTTTTTGAATTTTTTTGGGCACCTTAAAAAATTTAAATTTCACTCAAAGTGGGTAGCCACATGTATTCTAAACTATTCTGTGAAGTTTTGAAATTTTTGATTTTTTGATTTTTTTTGGGCACCTAAAAAAATTTAAATTTCACTAAAAGTGGGTGGCCACAGGTATTTTAAGTCATTCTATGAAGTTTTGAAATTTTTTATTTTTTTTTAAAAAAATTCAACAAATTTCCTATTTTCCCGAAATCTGAATTTTTTTATTTTTTGGAAATTGTGATGAATTTTTGTAGAATTTTTCAATTTTTTTGGATTTTTTGAATTTTTTTGAGATTTTTAGGAATTTTTTGGATTTTCTAATTATTTTTATTCCATTTCTAAAAAAATGGATTTTTATTCCTGGAAATAGAATTTTGTGTTGTTTATCAAATGGGTTTTTGTTTTAGGAAATAGAAATTTTGTGCTGTTATCAAACGGGTTTCTGTTCCAGAAATAGAAATTTTTGGTCGTTATCAAACGGGTTTCTTTTCTCAGAAACTCATCCTGGAATCAGAAATAGAAAAATCTATTTTTGTGTCAGGAACTCATTCTGAAACAGAATGGTTTTCATGCGCACCCTAATCGACTCACCCTAAATCGATTAGTGGCGACTCCTAGAGAAAAACCACTTGCAGGTTAAAAACTTAAACCCTAAATCGCGATATGGTATAAGCTTGGGAGAGCCCGAGTTAAGTCCTGAACCTAGACTTAGCGCATACAAGGCGAGACCCCCTTTTTTGATTAAAAAAAAAAAACCAGAGGTCGGTCGCGACAATTTTATATCAGGAATGCCTTATAACAATTAACGTTTTGAGTAGGACTGAATTTGGAACAGGATTGAGAATGTAACCTCACTTTTAACCTAACCAGAACGAGATTTTTATCACTAGCCAGAAAAAAAGGGGTACAGAGATCCTTTAAATATATCTTCAAGTTCAATCAAAACAATTCTTGAATACATTGTCTATATTGTTTTACATGACTCAAATAATACGTTTAATTGTTAAGGGTAAATTGATCATCTCTCTTAGCAGGCTAGGCGGAATGATGCAGAGGGTCGGTAACAGCAGACAGAGGAACTATGGACCAATTTGTCGGCCAATCTAATCATCTTATAGCCTATCAAGTTGTTTTGAGCATATTGAATCTGCGTAAAAACATACAAAACCAGGAGTTGGGACCTCCATCATACATAGATCAGAATTCAGAAAACATCTCGAAGTTTTATAGAAACAATCATCTTCTTTTGATAGATAAAAGATAAACTACTGTGGGCAGCAAGGGGGTGCGAACCCATATTAAAAGAAAATTCAAAGAACCAAAAAAGAGCTCGGTAAGCATTTGCATGCACAAGTTTCCACAATACCAAAAGATGTAATTTTTTCAGCCAATCCTCAATAATTACCAAAACAGGCATCTTCTCTCCTTGGTTCTCTTCTTATGTTCTTTCCAAATCAACCAAGAACCGGAATGAGGATTGGAGAGATCCTTCTTTCTTAACACTAGGCAAATGGGGGCCCTGCAAACCCATAATTCATGCTCAATAGATCCTCCAATCCTGTAACTCAAGTTAGCCCAATGAAAGCATAACAGGCCGCCCAAAACAATCTGTCCAAGAACAATGAAGGAGAAGATGTCTCACCTTCTCTGCCTTTGCTTTGCAAAGGAAGCGCCTATTGACCCACACTTTGCCTCTAATGCAAATTTATTAAGGTTAGAATACATTCCAAGTTGCTTACGGAGAGAGAGAGAGAGAGAGAGAGAGAGAGAGAGAGAGACTCTTGTAGGTACTCTCACTTTCCAAATAACTCCGAGGAAACACCTCTCTGCCTCCATCAACTTTCTTCTAACAAATTGAAATGAAACTCTATAGAAAAAGTTCTATCTTCACAGCAGTATCGAGAGAGATCTTTGAATTACACAGCAAATCAGGAAAGACTAGCAAAAGTTTTAAGTTCCTAGTCGTAGGCTTGTTCGAAAAATCAACTTCCCTAGTGATTCTCCCATCAATGGACCAATAACATTCAAACACAAGGGCCTCCTTGCTCCTAGAAATAATAAAAGGTCCAGGAAACGATCTATGAGAGGCATATACATGCACCAAAGCGTCAAGCCAAAAGCTTGTCCATTTTCCCCTTCCCACTGTTGGAGATGTCGGCGTCAAGGTTGCGTAAAACACACCAATTACACTGCAGAAATTAAATTCATTCTTGCTAAGCTTTGGTATTGGACATTGAACAGCGGTTATCAGGGTTCATCCATGTGGTTTTTGTTGACTCCCTGATCATATTGTTCTTGTTCTCTGCTTCATAATCTACAAGACTAGAATTGCTCAATGTAGCCATTGGCTTTCAAAGTGAAACTCAATCGGCAGCCTTCACCTGATTTACTGGGTCAATAGCCCCTGAGGTCAAGGACAAAAGAATAGTCTTTTGTTTGCAAATTCATGTGGCAGGATATGTGAAAATAGAACAGACTGATATGGGTTCATGATTTGTCAGTAAAAAGCTCTCGACGTTTGGCTTTGGATTCATGGATAAACAATGCATGAGAAGATACACTGTCAATAATAATTGCACAACTGAACTGTATATTGTCACCAATAATCCCTGCAAGAGCACCCACCACCTTTGAAATGGTGAAACCTATTATTGTCCCTCACAACAATTTCCCTATCAAAAGTTCGAGAAACAATTTTCATAAAATCATGACAATCCCAACAGATCCTAAGGTTTTTAACAATTCTTATAGGAACGTCTTTCTTCAATCTGATCAAACCAAATGCAGTGGCAATCTTCTCACTGTGTAGAGCCAGAGCATTCTCTTTCTCTTCTTCTTCTATATCGAACAAAACGGGGTTCGTGTTGGCCATGTACCCTGATAATCTCAGCCTCCTGAAGATCTCACCCAACATCACTTTAATTTCGTTATACATTTGGTGGGGGTTATCTCCAACAAAGAACTCATGAACTTCACCATCAACTTCTACAACACTGCAGCCCGGAAGCTTCTTCACGCCTCTGGACTTCATTACCTGCCGCACATGGCTTACATCTTCCCAGCTTTTGTTATCAGCATAGATATTGGACAAAAGCACGTAGGCACCGTGACTCTTTGCTTCAAGCTCCACCATCTTTCTTGAGGCAAGCTCACCTATTTCCATATTCTTGTGAATTTTACATGCATTTAGTAAAGCTCCCCAAGCGCCGGCATGAGGCTCCACCGGCATGTCATTGATGAAATTTAACGCTTCATTTAAACGGCCAGCTCGGCCATACAAATCAACCATGCAGCCATAATGCTCCAGTTCAGGCTGGATTCCATACAACTTGGTCATTGAGGCAAAATGCTTACAGCCTTCCTCGACTAGTCCAACTACACTGCAGCCTCTCAATACCGACACAAACGTAACTTCATTCGGGAGAACCCCGTCTTTCTTCATGAGCGAGAAAAGCTCGAGACATTCCGTGCCAGCTCCATTCATGGCCAGTCCATTCATGGCAGAACTCCATGTGTAAACGTTCCTTTCTGTCACCCCCCAGAAGACCTCCATGGCCTTATCCATGTCACCGCATTTGGCATACATATCAATCAATGCAGTTCCTAATGTCAACGTTATCCGAAGCCTGCTCTTTTCAATATATGCATGAGCCCACCTCCCTTGATCCAGTGCACCTAATTGAGTGCACGCAGATAGAACCGGAACCATAGAAGGCTCATTGACCTTCACACCTTCCAGTTGCATCTCATGGAACAAATTCAAGGCCTCCCTCGATTCCCCACACTGGGCATACCCTGCAATCATCGCATTCCAAGCAACAGTATCTCTCTCGGGCATTTCGTCAAACAGCTGCTTAGCGAACACGACATCACCATACTTGGCGGAAGCGCTCAGCATTGCCGTCTGACACACCACGTCACGATCAAGAATCCCTCCAAACACCCTACGACACGATTCCAAACTACCCATCTCCGCGTACATATTAATCAACCCACTCTGAACATGCGGGTCGCCCTCGAACCCATGTCTCACCAGAGCACCGTGCACCGATTCCCCCACGCCGCACGCCGGAAGCTGCGCGCACGCGCAGACCAAGAAATTGAAAGTGTAATTGTCCGGCGACAAGCCGCAATGCCGGATCCTGTTGTAGTAGCGGAAGCTCTTCTGCGGGGTCGGGCTCTTGGAGTGGACCCTGATCATGGAATTCAAGCTGAACAGGGTCGGGTTCTCGCATCGGTCGAGGACCCGGCTGGAGTGCTCGAGGTTCTCGGGGTTCCTGAGGGCGACGGCGGCCACGAATTGGCCCAAGAACTGGGGCTCGTTAAGGAGGCCGTTGAGGAGGAGGTGGGCGTGGATTTGCAGGAGCTCTCGGAGGGTGGTGGAGGAATCGATCAGGCAGATGCTGGGGTGTCTCGCAATGCTTCTCAGCGAACTCATGGCCCGCGGAGCTTGGAATGTTTCTTGGGTCATGTCCGAATCTCGCAGTGCTTTTGCTGCGTTCGGCTTGAGGATTTTTCTGAGCATCCGAGGAAACCAACTTTGGTGTGTGTCTTGGGGGTGTTCCCGCGTTTCAAACGGTCGGTTCGTTGGTAAATGGAAAAGGAAAAAAATGTTTTGGAAATACGAAATATTTGTGTTAGGATAGATGATGCTTTAAAAATCTTTTTTTTAACGGGATAAATGCTCTGAAAGTTCTAAAACTTGTCATAATTATGTAATCGAGTCATAAAACTTTCAAAATGTGCAATCGAGTTCTAAAATTTATCGCGAAAATGTAATCGGGTCTTAAAACTTTTAAAAAGTGCAATCAACGGAATGATTTAATTGGATAAATTTGACAAATTTTAGAACTGAATTGCACTTTTTGAAAGTTTTAGTATTCAATTGTACTTTTCGCGACAAGTTGTAGGGTTTTCAATGCACTTTTCTCCTTTTTTTTAATTTTCGAAACCTCTCAAAAATCCTATTGCTTTTATAACTTCCTTTAAGATCAAACAAATTGCCTCAAATTGGCATTTTTTGAGACAAATTAATTACTTGTTAAATCTTTATTTAAGGAAAATAAATCTGTCTCATATTGTTATATTTTGTGCCAAATTAATTAGATATAAAAAAAATTTCTAGATTGAAATCTTTAAAAGAAGTCTATGGAATCATGGTGATGTTTTTATGTATTTTTACTCTTGTATTGGGATACACTACACATATACTTGTAATTGTGTGATTAGAAAGAAATATAGGAACCCAGCAACGTATTGGTCCCAAATATGCCGGTCCTTTGGGAATTCTTTAAGCTTTAGCATATGGGACAAAACTTATTTTCAAATAAAATCTTTTTTCATCTAGAGGAGATACTCGTTTATTCGATATAGGCCCATCCATAGAAGTTATATCAATTTTACTAAGTTACTCAGTAATTCCTTCTAGTTATGACATCGTTTTTTATATGATCTCAATATCGGTGTTTTCTTTTACGGATTGCCATTTCCAGTGTTGCTTCCGTTGGACTTCTTGTGTCAAGATACGGATCAAATAACAAGCATTCTTTTTTTATGGGGTCTGCGAGCTGTTGCTCAGTCAATCAATTTGTGTTCTATCAATATCTCTAAGTACGATTCGTTATAACATAAACTTTTATTTTTCCTTACTCCTTTCTTCTTCGAAAAGAAATTGAATAGACATCTCCTTTTTCATTTTTCATCACTCAGTCTAAATCGGATAGATTAGCTGTAAAAATGTCAAGTCTCATTTTCCTACGTAGGAGAATACGAAAAAAAATAAGTAAATATAAGCAAAGATTTATACTCCCAACACCGACTCCGGTCCGACTCGACCCGACCCAGACCGGCCTGACCCGGCCCATAATAGTTCCTTTGATGGGCTTTTTAGAGGTGAAAATAGTCCATCTGAGCAAAGCAGGGTTTTTGAAACTTGGCTGGGTTGGGGTTTCTCTCCCTATCTCTCTCTCTCCCACCTGCAGCTCAGCCGTCAGTCCATCGCCGCCGGCCGCCGCCCACGGAGCTTCCGGTAATCTCTCTCTCCTCTCTCGCTTTGCGCGAGCCTGAACTCTGTTGGGTTTCAGCTGAATCGATCCGCCGGCTTTCCCGTTTCCCGGTGAATGCGTCCGGACGTATTCGCCGATTCGAGCGTGTGCGATGCTGGAAATGATTCAGGGAAAGCGGTGGAAGTTTCGTTCTTATGGCGGCCGTTGCTTTGTTCTGTTTGGCGGCAGATGAGGAGGAGGTGACGGTTCCCGACGAAGTTAGGGACATGGCATTGTCGATTTCCAGGAGGGTGTTGCGGTCGCTCGGGCCGTTGGGCCAGTGGAGGCATGTCGGCTCGGTTTCGGCCGCGAATGGTTCTTTTCGCTGTCCTATCTGTTTGACTACGTGGATTCTTGATTTCGATCGTTCGTTGAGATGGGTTTAATGGTTTTGTAATTTTTCTTGGTAGATTTGCGCGGCCTCGTTTCGCAAGAGAGCTTATCCACTGCGGAGTTTTCTCGATCATTAAGGGTATGTTCGTGTTCTACTTCTGTGTTATAATTACATGTGGTGAATGCAAAAGAATAGCAAAAGAGCAATTTTTTGTGCCTGTGGTTGCTCCGCGGATTTTACTCGATCAAATGCTTTCAATGGTGTATTGCGAGTGAAATCATAATTTTGGATGTTTCAATTTCTTTATTATTTGTCTTTGAATGTGCTCTCGGCTTTGCTCTATAACCTAGTGGTCTCTTCCTATTGAAGAAGCAGACTTGGGTTGTCTTACTTTCTACTGTCTAGAGTTCATAGCAGTTGATTGATGAACATGATATAAGCCCATCCTTAGCTTTAACTCCTGACATCGGGGTGTGTTTTATGTAACCGTATGTAGGACGATGCTTTTTTCGTTGGTCGTCGAAGGCTGTCAACCTCAATACTGACTCCTAATGGTGAAGCTGACTTCCCTTCTGACCTATTGTCCAAGAAGGAAGCAATCGTGCCTGATCGTGAGATAGGTATGGATGGAATGTGCTTTACAGTGTGTTTCTTGTAAAAGATACAGAGGATTATAATGACCATCTTTTACATGTGTCGATAGCCCTTGGAAATGCAACTTGAAATGTAGAAAAATAAGCCATGAATTGCTTAGGAAACAAGGGAAAGCATGAATTGGTCCAGAGGTTTGAAATGTCTTGCAGAACTAGTAATGTTATAAGAGGACTCAAGAAGATATTTCCTTGAATATTTCATGTATTAAAATGATTTTCATGATTGTTAAGTGAATGCAGGATATTCTATAGTGGCTTATCCGTTATATTTGCTTTTCAATGGGGAGATATCAGCATTCTGCTTATTCGCTGTAGTATTATACTCATAAAATATTCTTTCAGGACTTTACCAGGACCTTGTAATTCCAGTGACGAACTTTCTTGGTGAAGATAAGGGCTTGATGGTCTTAGCTGGAGATGTTTTTGATGTACCTATTAGAAAAGATATTATTCATCGTGTTGTGAGATGGCAGCTTGCAAAACGACAACAGGTTTTGTACAACAATCTTACACACTCTGAAATCTGGTGTCTGTATTTGCTGTAAATTAATTCATGGCATAGCTTGATCTACTGAATAACACTTTGAATTTTATTTACTGCTCTGAGAAGCATCTAAAATATTGTAGAAGAATGAGAAACCATTGATATACTACTATCTTCGCATTGAATAGGTTATTTTATTTTCCCAGAGTATTAGAATGCTGAATGCGTTTACTGCTGTGAGAAGCTTCTGTGGAGAATTTTTATTATGTTGATGGGTTGATCTACAGGGTACGCATTCAACTAAAACAATTAGTGAGGTCAGTGGAACAGGCAAAAAACCATGGCGACAGAAGGGCACTGGTCGAGCAAGGCATGGTTCTAGGCGTGGGCCCCAGGTTTGGTTATGTTTTGCCTTATTGTTATAGAGGTCTGATTTACTGAGATGGTGTATGTAAAATATGACAAGCAAATTTTTGGATGACAGTTTAGAGGTGGTGCTACAATGCATGGCCCAAAGCCACGAAGCCATGCTATTAAGATCAATAAAAAGGTTAGGCGCCTGGGGCTGAAGATAGCTCTCTCTGCACGGGCAGGGGAAGGAAAGGTGAATCTGTCTCGCTGCTCTTCAATTTTCTATTTGTCGATTGTTTGATATGGTATACCTGTGGGGTTCAATTCAAGGCATATAAGCAATGATGATAATTCTGTAGTCAAGTTTGTCTTGGCTTGTAATGTCATAGAGTCCGTGCCTTGCCTACTTCATTATCCTTGTGCTTATGACCTCCTCCCTTTTGTGAGGAGCAGTATCTTGAGATTTAGGGTCTGTTTTTATTGGATATGAACCTTTTGCTTTCCCTTCAAGATATTGAAAATAAAAATAAAAAATTAATATTAGCAAAGTAGGAAAAAATTCTAAACGGCGTACATATCAATATGTGTCTTTTGAAAGGATTCGCACTTTCAGTTATTCGACATTAAGTAAAATTAAACTTCTTACACTAAAGAAAAAGAAAATGCAAAAGACATTCAAAATAGACCCAATCATTCGATTATTTTTGTTATCATCTTGCTAGTCAGCAACCTGTTGCTTTGGTACTTGTTATGTTGAACTCTTTACTGCTCTTCATTACCACTGTACCTCAAAATGATCCCATTCTATATTGAAATCTTCCTTTTCTTTTTTCTATCTATGCTGTATATTTGATCTAGTATTTCCTGGCTCTTGAAAATTGCACAGCTTCTGGTATTTGACGATGTGGAGATCCCAACGCACAAGACAAAGAACATTGTAAACTATGTCGAGCAAATGGAGAACACTAAGAAAATTCTGGTTGTGGATGGTGGTCCCATCAATGAGAAGCTGAAATTGGCTACGCAGAATCTACACTATGTCAACGTGTTACCCTCTATAGTAAGTTTACCTTCTGGTTTTAGATTTTGCATTGTTGAAATTGATTTAGGTAGGCTTGATATTGCATGCTAGAATGTTTTCTTACACTGCGTTTGGGTCTGAGAACGCATGAATTTTAATGAGAATGGAGGTGGAGGAATGAATATGAGGGACTATATTCTTTCCTATTGTTGAGAGTAACGGCAATTGAAGGCAGTGAAAATGGAGGGCTTTTCCATTGGAAGGAGATGGAAGGCAAGTTGTGGCAGTGCTACTTAGTGGGCATTGCTCACTCCATTTCTGGAGGGAGCAGGTCAATGTTCCCGTTCAGATCAGCTCCCATATTCTATCCAACTTTTTTTTTCTTTGGGATGCTCCGTGGGGAAAGAACATTGTCATTCAGGTTGTCTTGCCCGAAATTTAGATATACGTGTCTGTTGGTATTTTAGGCATGTCCTCTTTCGACTTTATTGATGTAGCTGATTAATTCTTGTTTCTGAAGGGCATGCTCCAAGATTGTCTGGTGATCATAGGTTCATATCATATCATTGCAGGATACGGACTAATATAAGATCAATTGTTGGTACTTTTGGTCTTATGAGATATGGAAATAGTGACAATATTGCAGGAAGGAGTGTCTGTATATTTTCTCTTATGATAACTTCTAGTGATGATTAGGAAAACCATCAGGTTGTATATGGAACAAATAATTCTACTTTCATGTCTAGACCACCTTGTTCATCATTCCACAGCTCTAGGCATGTAAAGTAGTTTCCTATTTCGGAAGTTGTTTGATCGCTTATGGCCTGAAAATCTGGCAAGATCACTTTATTCTACGATATCAGTTATAACACTTGGTAGTAACGCTTTGTTGGGCACATTGTTACGTTCTCTAAAGAGGGTCATTCGGTTCAATAACTGTAATATGATCATATGTTTTTGCAGGGCCTTAATGTATACAGCATCCTGCTACACGACACATTGGTGATGTCCCGTGATGCGGTAAATAGGATTGTTGATCGAATGCATACTCCAATTAACCGTTGATGCTATGATTTTTTTTTTGTTAGAAAAGTTCCTTTGGAGGGCAAAGTTGATTTTTGTGTTGGTATCTGTGCCAATGTAGGCGTTTTTCTTCTTCCTTTTTTGAGTTCCTGTAATAATTATGTAACTTAGAGCTAGCAATTTTGTGTTTGGCACTGTTTTCTCCTTGTGTTTGAGTATAATGAGCCGGAATGTGCTCTCGCAAATAACATTTTACTTGCTGATCTTAGCCCGTGTCAAAACGTTTTTCCTTTTTCACACCGTCTGGATGTGTAGCACCAATGACATGCGTGATTTTGTTTTGATTTTGTTCATGCGAAGGTAACGATACCTTGTCGCGGTAGGAATGATATATACTGGATTGATGTTGAATCATGAGATGAGGGGAGCAATAATCCCCTATTTAGAATGAGAGAAGTAGCCAATTTCATCTGGTATTGAATATCACTAGACTAAGAAGAACGCAACCATCATAACGGAACTGTATTGGTTGATGCTGTGTAATTAACACTGGCATTGTGGAGTTGATGGGTTTTCTTTTGGGGATATTTCATTTTTCCATATTAGGGGAAACCCTTCTCTTGCAGCTCGTACTTGCTGAATGTTGACCCATGCCTTTTGGGTACTTGAAAGCGTAGTAAGATGATACCGTTTTCTTTCACAAAGCTTAAAGCTTATAACTGGAGATGTTTCTAATGGACGAATAGATGGGTATTTCAAGTGCATTCGTTTCGAGAAAAAGTAACCATAAGAAAAACATTTGTTTAAAAAAATAATCGCTTGCACAAAAAGAGAAAAAAGAATAGATTCCTTTTTAGGGTACGTTTGTTTCATGGAAAATGTAACGTTTTTGGAAAATGTTTTCCGGAAAATCATTTTCCAGAAAAATAGTTAGTTTTCCTTTGTTTGGTGATATATAATCGAAAATGTTTTTTGGTGTTTGGATCTCATTTGAAAAATGATTTCAATCCCATGATTTTATCTCAAGCAAAAAAATAATTTCGAATTTTTTATATTTTTGCTTTTTAAAATAAAAAAGAAAGAAAAGAAAAGAAAGAAAAGAGTAAAATATTAAAAAAGTCAAGTGAAGCAATTCCGGAAAGTGTTTTCACCTTCTTAAATTAAGGAATTCACTTTCTTAATTTTATACATGAATGTTTTTTTTGACCGGAAAGTGTTTTCGACTGACTAATCATTTTCGACGAACCAAACATGTGAAAGTCCGGAAAACGGATTCCCAAAAAACATTGTCCCTGAAACAAATGCACCCTTAGTAAGATTCTGACCCTTCATTTGGAAAAAGGTTTTGTGAAATAGATACATCATGTGGCAGTGACGATGCAGTGTGATTGACAAATCACTATTTCTTACCCGATACATCCTCGTTTTCTCACTTTGATTAGTCAGTTACATCGCATGGTATCCATCATAGATAATGCCTTCACTTCACAGAGAAAAAAAGCCAATGAAATCAGTGGAAGTCTTAGAAGCCGAATACTCGGAATTCATCCCTCAATTCGCTCCCTTCTTATATCACTAGAGTTTGGGCTTGCCTTAGCTTATTTTGGGGGAGGTATCTTGCGGGTTTGTTGCCTGGATATGGGCCTGGTTTTGTTTTCGCCCTTATTAGAACCCAAGAAAATAAGTAATTTCATCAACTGACATAGTACGGTAACAATTACATTTTTTTTTGAATGATTTATGGAGATGGAATTGATTTTTTAACAATGAAGTTAAAAGTTAAGTGTATAAATATGCTTTTGAAATTCACAAACAAAGAAGTGATTAAAAAAGTTGACCCTGAAAATTTAACATTAATCTAAAAAGTAGAATTCTTTAGCAGCCAACAGCTTTTCCCAACTTCACAAATAAAATCAAAATCAAACTAAATTCCTAGCATGCACATCATCCTATTACTATTTATCATCCAATGACTTTAATATGTTGACACCTGAATTTTACTTAAAGGTTTTTCTTGGTTTTTTAGATAAATGAAAAGGATAAAGAAGAGGCAAGAGGGAGGATCCTACTGCATAATAATTCACATGGACAAGCAGCTTGTTGAAAAACATATGTTGAAATTGGAAATTGCACATGTGAGAGGATTGTTGAATGTCATAAAGCACCTAGTAGAGCCTCTGGAGGTCCAAGTAGTTGAGGGAAAAGAGAGAGAAGAGTTTTGTTAGAAGAAAGGATTGGTTTTCTTTTTGGAAGGGACAATGATGGTAAGCGAAGGAGGGGAAAGTGTCAAAGGTTAATTTTTCTCTTAATTTTCCTTCTTTTTCGAGTATTTGTTGAATTAGGAGTACAAAATGTCCGAACTCCAAAGTTGTTTTCTTAATGGAGTCTGTCTTCTTTTTTTCTTTCTTGATGGAGCTTACCTTATAATCATGCTCTTAGATGAGAAAGCCATTCTTTTTCCTTTTCTTTTTTTCCGTACTTCCGATCTCTAACTTCTTCTTTCTTTGTTTAGTATAATACCTATCTCACTCTTCTTCTCTATTCTAATATCCATTTTAAGTAAACCATTATATGCAAAGAGACAAATTTTATTGTTAGTGTGGAAGAGTAGAAAGTCAAACACCGTCGCCAAAAATCATTACCGGTTCATATTTAATAAATGAGACCGGCAGAGCACCCATCCGTCATTCAGCGACTTCGACTTTGCCTATAAATTTTAGTCATTTGCCTATTTCTTCTCCTTCTTTCTCCATTCTCTTCACCGTTTCTCTCTTTTGTCTCTCTCTCCGTGGACGCTGGGAGCTTTGATTACGCAGTAGCAAGGTTAGTCTTTTCGTTTGTTGTTTTCAGTTATATTAATTGTTTTTAGTTGTCAAAATACCCATTTTGAACGAGTTGGATATGGTTTAGCAGTTTTTTGGTACCAAAGCAGTGGAAAGAGATCACCATGAAGAGCTAAAGAGTGGAACATGCCCTTTCTACCCAAAAAAGAAAGAGTGAGAGGAAACGCCCGATTTGATGAACATAATGGAGATGAGTAACGAGACATAAAAGTCTTAGAATTTTACGAGTTTCTACTTCTATGATCTTCATGAATGGAATGTTGACCGCATGCTAATTTTTTTTTTACATCAGAATGCCTTGGACAATTATCCACTCGAATTGGCTACTCTAAATTACAAAAAGCCGAAAGAGTCTTGAAACTGGCTGAAAAGCATAAGGTATTCATTTTATATTTCTTCTCACGTGAAGAGAAAACATATCTTTTCATATTATTCTTTGTTGACACCTATGTATGATGTTTCAGAGGTAAGAGGAGAACTCTACTCCATGATAATTCACATGGAAAAGTAACTTGTTGAAAAACATATGTTAGAATTGAAAATTGAACATATAAGGAAATTGATGAATGTCATGAAGCACTTGGTGGAGCCTTTAGGGATCCAAGTAGTCAATGGAGAAGAAGGAATAAAGTTTTGCTGAAAGAAGGGATTGGTTCCCTTTTTGGAAGGGACAATGATGGTGAGCACAAGAGGAGAATGTGTGAAAGGTTAATTTTTCATGTTTAAATTGTGATAATGCATGTTTTATAACATGAATACAGCAGGGGAATATGTGAAAAGTTAGTTTTTCTCTTAATTTTCCTTCTTTTTTGAGTGTTTGTTAAATTAGCAGTACAAAATGTCCGAACTTCAAAGTTGTTTTCTTGATGGAGTCTATCTTCTTATTTTTTTTCTTTTCAATCGATCGAGCTTATCTTATAATCATGTTCCTAGACGAGAAAGTCATTCTTCTTTCGTTTCTCTTTTTTTTTTTTTTCGTTCTTATGGTCTTTGACTTCTTCTTTCTTTGTTTGGTATAATGCCTATCTCACTCTTATTCTTCTCTTCTGATGTCCATTTTAAGTAAGTCATTATGTGCCAAGAAACAAATTTTTTTATTAGGGCGGAAGTGTAGAAAGTCAAGCACTTTCACCACAATCATTACCCATTCATAGTAAATGGGACCGGCACAGTACCCCTTTGTCATTTAGCGACTTCGACTTTGCCTTTAAATTTTAATCTTTCACCTATTTCTTTTCTCTCTTTCTTCATTCTCTTCTCTGTTTCTCTCTTTTGTCTCTCTCTCCGTGGACGTTGGGTGCTCTGATCGCACAGCAGCATGGTTAGTCTATTTGTTTTTTGATTTCAGTTTTATTAGTTGTTTTTAATTGTCAAAATAACCATACTGAATGAGTTGGATCTGGTTCAGCGGTTTTCTGATACCCAAGTAGAGGAAAGAGATCACCATGAAGAGCTAAAGAGTGGAACACACAATTTCTACCTAAAAGAGTGAGATGGAGAGAAAGTGTCCGATTTGACGAACATAATGGAGGTGAGTAACAAGACATCAAAGTCTCAAAATTTCACGAGTTTCTACTTTTGTGATCTTCATGAATGAAATGTTGACTGCATGCTAACTTCTTTTTTACATCAGAATGCCCTGGACAATCATCCACTCGAATTGGCTACTCTAAAGTTACAACAAGCCGAAAGTGTCTTGAAACTGGCTGAAAAACATAAAGTATTCGCTTTATATTTCTTCTCACGTGAAGAGAATACATATGTATTATTATTATTTTTGGACACCTATGTATGATGTTTCAGACACAAGAGGGGAACTCTACTGCATGATAATTCACATTGAAAAGTAGATTGTTGAAAAACATATGTTGGAATTGGAAATTGCACATATGAGGGGATTTGTTGAATGTCATGAAGCACCTGGTGGAGCTTCTAGGGGTCCAAGTAGTCGAGGGATTTGTTGAATGTCATTCATTTTCCTTTTCTCTTTTTTTTTCTTTTTTTTTCTGTACTTCTGGTCTCCGACTTCTTCTTTCTTTGTTTAGTATAATGTCTATCTCACTCTTCTTCTTCTCTTCTGATATCCATTTTAAGTAAGCCATTATATACAAAGCGACCCATAGCAAGTGGCAACTCTGTCGTTTCATCGACCAAAAACAGGAAGAAATCGAGAGAACACACACAGAGGAGCCAAAGGGAACCCTACGGACCTTGATCACACAGAGGAGCTCTAGGGTTCGTAGCAAATCTGAGTGACGATTGATGGTCGCTCGTTGAGCCGTGGCCGGCGACGATGAGTCGGTCGTTGACTCAGCGACGGTGAGTCGGCCGGAGATGCTGCGTCGTGATGAGGATCGAGAACGACAAAGAATAGAGATGAGAACTGAGAGTGAGTGCTGCGTCGCGGAATGGAAAGAAAAGG